TAAACTTTGTTACACAACCATTGAAATCCTCACAGATAACTTTAAATGTTTTTTCAATTTATCAAAAAAAAAAAAGTTCTGACTGAGACAAGAGGGCTTGGCAAGGGGGTAGATGAAAGGTTGAAATCATTTTAAGATATTTAAGGACTGACATCCAAATGGCTCAACAGATAGAGGTACTTGCTGCCAAGACCAGCAGCCTGAATTCAATCCCACAGTACCACATGGTAGAAGGAAGATTCAAACTCCCACGAACTTGCCTGTAACCTCCACAGGAAGGTATGGTGCAGGTTGACCCTTCCATATACACATGCACACAACCTCCCCCCCACACATGCTAGTAATGATAGTAATTATAATACTATTCATAGGGGCAATTTTTAATATTTTAAAGATAATAAAACCAAAAATATTGGCTGCTTTCCTTTCAAATCAAACCCTTAAGCAATGAAGGAAAGTGGACGTTGTACACAGGAAAATCTAAAATGCAGTTTGGTCCATAGTGTTGGTGTCTTTTTAATACATAAGGTTATAAGGATGTATTCATTAATTCAAGTCTTGTGTATACAAAGAATCTCAATACCTACTGACTGGATTGTAAAACAACATGAAAGTGTCAAGCGAGCCTCTGAATTCTGCTTGTTCTCTCTGAATGTCAGATAACGTGAGTCAAGAACAGCTCATAGAATCACTGATTCCCCAGGATTCAAGCTCCCACCAGATAAAAATATCTCACAGTACAAACATTTTACAATGGAATTTTATTATCGCATTGACATAATTTTTTTTACACAATTACTCTCTAGGGAAAAGTCCTCCTTGCCGTGTTTTCATCTATAATGCAGCAATGATGATTTGTGAGAAGTACATCAATTTTAAAACTTTAATTATTTCTTTAATGGCACTATTACTTTATTTTTTATTTTTATTAGAGGTTTGAAGTTGATATTTTGCTCTTAAATTTTTTCAGAACAATCTAAGCATGGCTTGAGAAGACTCTTGGGGTACAACTGGTACTGGATAATTTAGAAAAAGTTCAAAATACTAAAACCATGCAAATGTACATTGTGTAAAATAGAAAGAAAAATGAATCAAGCTTTTGATTTTCCCTGTGGGAAATAACTTTAATTTTATGAGAAAAGGCTATTGCTGGTTTACTTCAGGGAAAGATTTTAACTGATTTTTCTAAAAGGAGAGGCATTTTAAGACAGGAAGTTGGAGCAAAATCAGCAAGCTGGCAAGGTCATGTTGACTCAGTAATCAGTGAGGTCTTTGTTTAAAGCTACTTATGAATAAATTTCTTTTTTCGTGGCAGGAAAAGTTGGAGCCTGAGTCTTTGGGCAGCTGTAGAGCATTTGAGACAATCTTTCCTTTTCCGTGAGGAATTATCAAATGGCATTAACTCCTACGTTTTCTTTTTCAAGTAAGAACTTTGGTCCACAGAAAGGGTGAGATTTAATGCCACACTATGAGATTTCATCTGCATTGTGGTTTTTTTTTTACTCCTATTTTTGGTTATTTGAAGAAAGAGATTAGGATGCCACATCTCTGGGGAATACTTTGTTATTGCTGCTGTACACTGTTCTTGACACCAAAAATCCATGCATGAACATGTTAAGGTAGGGGACTGCAGTCTTTGTCTCAAAACATCTACATTGAATTGTTCTAGGGGGCTGAGGAAGTGGATCCCTGGCAAGAGTACTCATTGCTCTTGCAAAGGACCTGGTTTCCATACTCAACACTGATGGATTCTTACCCCAGTCAGAATAACATTAAGGGTACAAACAACACTGGTAGGGATGGAGACTCTATTCACTGTTAATGAAAGTTAAACTAATATCTTCACTGTGGACATCAGTAGGAAGAGTGCTCAGAAAACTAAACTTGGGACTACCACATGACCCAACTTTACCACTCCTCCACATCATACCACAGAGATGCATCTGTGTTTATTACTGCTCTATTCATAGTAAATAAGAAATCAACCAGTCTAAATGCCCATCAACAGATGAAGTGATAAAGAAATTATGGTACATATGCACAGTTAATTTTTCATCCATAAAGAAAATTAATCATATAATTTGCAAGGAAATGCATGGTTCTGATACATATTGTTGAGCAAAAATGCAAAACAGAAAGGCAATGATCACAGTCTTTCTCTGATACATGGATTGTAGATCTTAATCTTTATGGAAAACATGTGAATGTTCTATACATGGAAGACAGTGTACATCAAAAAACTAAACAGGGGATATGAAAGTGGAGAAAGATCTTAGGATAAAGGGGGGAATGAGGACTAAAGGACATGTATGACAGGAAAGCAGAAGAGGTATTGTAGGAAAACAAACAAGACCAGAAGGACCAGTGGACCAGTGGGAGAGGAAGAGATGGGAAACCAGAAATGGGGAGGAGGATTCACAAGAGATAACAAGAACAGTGAGAGAGACCATAGTGGCTACAAAAATAAAATTATAATCAAATTCTGCACAATGGAAATCTTGTTTTCTTTCACTGGATGTTCGTTTGTTTGGTTTTGGTTCTGATTATTTTTGAGATTGTAACTTAATTATATTTTTCCCTTTCCCTTTCCTCTCTCCAAAGCTTTCCATAGACCCCTCCCCACACTCCTTCAAATACTTGCCCTCTTTTGGTATTTCATGTATATGTGTATTTGTACAAACATGTATATTCATAAATATAAATATAACCTGGTAAGTTCAAGGCTGACAATAAACATAACAAACTGGATGTAGAGAAGCACATTAGGCCTCGGTCCTACAAACACACACACACACTCACTCACACACACACACACACACAACTATAGCCAAGTGATGGAAGTTGGGAGCAGTAGAGGTGGTCCTTTGCAGAGAAAAGCACACCAATTGGTTGGCCAAAATCAAATGGTCAGCCCTGAGAACACACATACAAGTAACACTGGCTATTTTTATAGGATGGCATGTTAACTATGCAACACCCAGGAAGCCCCAAGCTGTGACACTGCATTGACATCAGTGTGGGACAAAGAATGGCAGGTCCAGTTTCTGTGCCTAGGTCTAGATAAAGGAGATGTTATTGGACTAGACATTAAAAATGGGCACTCAGAAAAATTTTCATTTCCCTCCACCTTGATGGCTTTTTATATAAAACATCCCAGCTAACTCAGCTAGGAAAAAGGGGGTGGTGATCATGAACTTGTTCTCATCCATACAATGCCTACCCCAAGGTACAGGAGTTAGTGCTTGTCGGCTTTGTTTTTACCTAAGAAATAAATACAAAAGACGCATGTACTCTGTCATCTGTCTTTCTTTTTAAGGTTGGTAGATCATAGGGTTTCAGTTCCTCTAACTCCTGCGCTAGCTATGTGAACAACTGCCTCACTTCCTCTAGTTCTCCAGGGAGACAGTATAATTTAAAAGTAGATTCTTAATCCTCTCCTCAGAACTCCTGCTCCTGGAGATGAGTGTGCACACCTCTGAGGAAGTAGAAGACACTGATTTATGTGTTCTTCCAGCCCTCCACTGGGTCATTATACAGATTTAAAAGGTCTTTAAATATTATAGTCACTGCTTGTATTTTGAATAACTACATACCAACATTTCTATTGAAGTTTATTAACTGCTCTCAACAGTGGGGTGAATTATAAAATTATTGAAGGTCTAAGAACTTTTCTGTTCTATGTATATGATTCAGGTACATGTGTATGCATGCATATTCATGTGTGTGAGTCAGGCACATGTGTGCAGTACACATGTGGATGTCAGAAGACCTCAGTCCTCTCCTTTACCTGCTTTGACACAGGGCACCTTAGCTGTTGGCCACAGCTGCCCCATACACTTCCTAGGATGTCCCTTTCTCTGCTTTCCCATCTTGCCCTAGCTGGGGTTACAGGCTCACTATCACCCCCAGCTCTACATGGGTCCTGGAGTCCTAGAGGGCAAGGACTTTCTTTGTTGAGCCATCTCTCCTGCCAAGGGCCAAGTTTTTAATTCACTTCTTAGCATAATAAAAGGTCTGTCTCATTCAAGGAGAAAACTTTCTAAAATATAAAAATAAGAGTAATGTAAACTTAAATGACTGTAACTATGTAACTAGGATTCGCTTTAATCCAGAAATTAATAGAACTCTAAATTTATAGATAGAAATGTTAGCATTTCCAAAAAACAGGATTTACCACACTAGAATTTAAGGGGAGCAGGAATTTGGAGGGTTTTATATGATGATAATTATAGACAGTTCATTGTGACCTAACCAAAGATTTTCTTGATGATACATTCAGACCCAACTTTCAATATCAACCTTATAATTTTATTTCACTTTAGAGGTTTTCAAAATTTTTCATAGTAGTAATATCTCAAACTTGTAAATTATACAATGTGACCCTTTAATTGTAGCATCAAAATAACAGTGACATCATCAAACTATAACATTGTTTGTATTATCTCTTCTTCAGTTTCTCTCTCTCTCTCTCTCTCTCTCTCTCTCTCTCTCTTTCTCTCTCTCTTTCCAATGTCTTATTGCATATTTCTGGCTGTCCTGGACTTGCTTTATAAACCAGGCCAGACTCAAACTTGAAGAGGTTCCCTTCCTCTGCCTTCCTAGTGCTGGGATTAAAGTGTGAGCACCACAGCCAGCTTCATTGGGATCCTTCTAAGCCATGACCTTTATATATAAAACACCATAAATAGTGACCTTTTAAACAGACTAATGCCCCAAAGATTTGTTCTTGAAATGGCTCTGCTGTCCAAATGAATTGAATGTGTTTCTGGTGTACAAATGTCTCATACGCCCTCTTACATGGCTAGAGTCTGACAGCTATGTGAAAGTAAATGGGTATTGATCACAGGTTTGGTTCTACCACCAAAGCCGGAGTAAAAAGCCCATGAGTTATAGATTGTAGGTTACAGTTTCTAATACAACCCGAGACAGGCAAGGCAGTGCTCCGTGGGGGAGCAGTGTCCTCTGGGAGAACTCATGTTTTGTGCTGCATCCCTCCCCAGGATCTGTCACTGCGAAGGAGATGAGGAGAGCCCGCTCATCACACCCTGTCGGTGCACGGGAACCTTGCGCTTTGTCCACCAGTCCTGTCTCCACCAGTGGATCAAGAGCTCGGACACTCGATGCTGTGAGCTCTGCAAGTATGACTTCATAATGGAGACCAAGCTCAAACCTCTTCGGAAGGTACAGTGTGGATCGTGGGCAGAACAGGGAGGGGAGAAGGAGCATGCAGAGCAGCTTGCTTTCAACCTGGCTTCCTCTGCCAACATGCTAATGTTTATGGGGGGTGCTCGTCCTATAGTGGACTCAATGCGCAAAATGCAGCCATGTCTGCAGGTAAATCAGTTTATTCTGTTTTATATTGTGTGACTTCTAGATCTTATAATGGTGTACAGGTACATAAATTCACAGAGAAATATTTAACTGTGTATAAATGAAAAACACAATTAGAATTCAATGTAATTGATGAGAAGCTTGAGAATTTTGATCTTTTGAGGTCAGTATCCAAAGTTAGATGATAAAATCCACGAAATAACATGAACTCACTTGACTTTTTAAAAGCTGACTATTAGATAATAAGAAAATGATTTTTTCTATAAGACATGGCCTAGATTATGTATAATTTCTTTTAACACTTGGTCAGATGTTAAATGAATCACTAGAGGGGGTACAAAGAAAGCCACTATTTTCTATATGGTTCATCAAGTTGCAAGAGAAATAGAAGTATATTTTTAAACTGTAAGATTTATCTTCACAATCTTCATCTGTGGTAATTCTTTTATAGAACATGGTAGTAAGGCTGTGAGCCAAGAATAAAGTTAACAGTCTCCAGTAGAACACTTGTCAAGGGCTCTGTAAGGGTGAGGTGCTGCGTTCATTCATCCTCAAGGCCTGGAATTTGCCAGTTAGCTTGTTCATCTTTTGCCTAACTGCAGCCTTGCACACGCACACACAAATGCACATGCACACACATACACATATATAAAACATATCTATGTATATAGATGCCTCTATATCCAAAGGGACTTTGGGGACTGCAATTTAAATAATGAATTGGCCCAGGGCTGATTTTCTATTTAAATTAAATGCAGAGCTAACACAGATAGAAAGAGCAATGCACGGAAATAAACGTGGGGAGTTCCAGAACGAGAAGAGATGAATGCAAACAAGGATTTTCCAGTAGGCGTCTAATGGGGGGCTAGCCATGTAGCCACTGTAATTCTTTATCCACTCTCTAAATTAGAGGGAGGGAGAGTAATATGCCCTATTTTTGTAGTAGACTTGATTTTTTAAATTTTTTTTAATTTAAAAATGGTGTATAGATCTAAAAACTATATACAAATCACCTTTAGGGAGATGAATTTTTTTTTTTTACTTGGGATGACCCAAATGCCAAAAGGTGACTCTCTGATTCTCTGGGCCCCAGAGCAATCATTGCAGAAGTAGGACATGATGGATACTCTACACTCTCACTCTATATGCTAAGCAGAAACTGTACTGATGGAGCTGGATGACATGCTTGTGAATCTTTGACTTTCTCTTCTTGTCCCTCCGAGAATGATAAGTTGTTTCACAGAATCTGCAGCCTTCCTTGCCCCTTTCCAATCCTCTACCCACACAAAATTTTCATTTCAACTTAGTCAAGCATAATATCTGAATTTGAGAGCAAGAATTGAGAAAAATAACATACTCAAGTTGTCTCTTTTATATTAAGCCTCCCAACATACACACATATAAACATAGAGGGAGCATAACATATTAAACATGGTAATGGAAAAGAACTCAAAACCTATCTTAACAAAAGAACTCTTTAAATATGACTTAGAACTTTTCTTAATGTGTCTTGATCAGAATTTACAACTAACCTGTTTGTAGTTGGAAAACAACAAAAAAGCCTCATGGGAAAGTATGGTAGCCTGTAAGTTTTGTCCATAAAAGCCCCTACAATAAATGTCTTGGAGTCATTGAGCTGGGATATTTCCAGGGAGTGGCTCTGACCAAATTCCATATTATTCAGTGTCTAGTATTATAATAAAGCTTGCTTTAATTTGGCCCAAAAGGCAGAACTGGTTTTTCTCTGGCAATCTCAGGACTAACAGTAACCAGAATAAGAAAATACATCTGTGTATATCCATACAATGGATGTGTTGATGAACTCAACAAGAACATAACTACTTATTAGTGAAACAGCATAACTTCTTTACAAAAAAGGAGCATTTCTTTTGACCATAAGTATTGACAAAAGACATTGTTTAAATATCCTTCATATTTGATAAGCATAATAGGTAGAGAGTTAGCTTCTAACAAAGATGTACCTCCTTGGTAGCCCACAGATGTGTTTTATATAAGTCATTAATTTGAATACTAGTTATCAACCTAATTATGTGATTATTTTGGGTAATATTTCACATATTAAATTTTGTATATCACAGCACTTGGCTTGACTGGAACCACATTCTTTATGACTACGGGGGTGGGATTAGATGGGAATGGAATGTTGCTACTGTAATCTGCTTTAAATTCTTGGCATTTCTCGCCCCTCATGTGATCTTGAAGTCCCCCCCCCCCCCCCACACACACACACACCACCCAGACTGGAAGGAGGATGTGAATATTCAGTTCCTATGTAAGGCAGGATTCCTAGACATGAGACATGAGTACATTCTATCCATACTTCCAGGACATTCAAAACCTATGGGAAGAAGTATTTTAAATTCTCATTCTCCTCTCTCTGAAAATATGAAACACAGCCAAGGACTACAGGAGACATTGCCTTCAGCCTTGTTTTAGATTGTGAGGTGGTTCAAAACAACATGTAAAAAGAATTTTAAGCTGTTCTAGATGGTTTGTTTTGATAGGATGGCAGTTCAACAGCATATTCTTTTGGCCGTTTTTGAGTATTCATAAAGAATGCTATGCATAATGTTTGGTGAGAATATATTTAAAGTACACACAACTCAGTAATTACATTACAGTTTCGAGCATTCTAAATACCAGGTACATGAAACAATTAATTTAGCTAATGATTCTGGATCTCTACCATCAGTGAATGGAAGTGAAGTCTGTGGTTAGACGAGATGATTTCTCCAAAGAAAATGTCAGTCTTCATAGTCTGATGGAGCTTGGCCTTGACTGTCTCTAAAGATACCAGTAAATCCTTACCTCATTGATTGTTGTTACTACACCAAAAACTACAGTTAGCAAAGTCATCAAGGGAGTTTAATGTTTGTAGAAGAAAATCTTTAAAGTCAAAATAAAATGAAGGGCTCATTCCAGGGAACGCAAATCCCCATCATCTTTAAGTCAGTAGCTCAGCTACTTTTATGACAATCAATAAGAGTCCCATTAACTAGCTTACTTAGGGCCAGAAGAAACTCTCAGAACCCCGGAAAGAAAAAAAGTCACAAATAAAGCACAGTGATGAGCTAGTGAAATCTGGAAATGTACACACTGCTGATTAAGAAGCATAAACTAAACTTCCATTCTGAAGCTAAAGTCTGGGATTCCAAACTGAATCTCCCTGAAAGAAAAGCCAGGTGCTGACATAAAGCAGGTTCTCAGAGACAGCAAGTACTACTGATGACTTCTGTTCTGCCCTGAAATATATGTGCATATGAACCACATGACAAATATAGAATGTATCTACTTACTTTTTATCTCATTTAACTAATTCAACCCACATTAAGCCTGTTTTGAGTAAATATGTGGATCCCATTTTAAATAAGAAGAAAAGAGTCATCATATCAAACTTAATGCCACACAATGCAAATATATTTATACTCGCTGCATGGTACATGATGGTCACCTAGCTCTTGAGTTCTCATTAAGAATCATAACATTCACTTTTCTGAGTATGGAGGCACAAGAAGCTGAGGCCAAAGGATCAATGGATGAATGCTACCCTAGCAACATAGGGAGATGTTTTCCTTAAAAGGCTGAGTGACAGAATTTCTTCAATTTTTCCTAAACTATTTCTGATTGAAATGTTTTAAAAGAAATCTTTCTAAAAACACTTTTTTTTCTAGACTATTTATCCTTCAGCCTAGAAGAAACACTTCACCCAGACTCCTTGTCCCAGCAGCTCGGTTACATTACTATATACACAGTCAAACCCTGGGTGCAATAATTCAAAAGTTTATTTTTTTCTTCACTGTGCTTTTCTCAGTCTTTTTAAATGTGTTTTTCTGAGCTTGTCAGTCTGCCGTGTGTTCTTTCCTCCTTGCTATCAGCAACTAACACCATTTCTCTGTTCCTGGGACAGCCTTAGACATGCTTCTTTACTGAGTGCAACAATAACAACCAAGGGAGCTACCCTGACGGGTTTACCAAATGTAGGACCTAGCTCTGGTGGCCTTCTGCAGGGTTCTCCCCCAATGGCCTGCAAGAGTTTTTGTGTTAGGGACATTAGAGCCTCATTCTGGAGTTTACAAAATTCCTTTTCTCATCCTTTTTAGTTCTCAGTTTTACTCAAAAGTCTTGAAATCACAGGATACTAAGCACTCAGCAGACAAAGCTGTTCTTTTGTCAACTGAGCTCGGGTTTGGAAATTCGTTATTCTATTTCTTCACATAAAAAGCTACAGGCCATGAACATCTATCTCTGTCCTAGTACACAGTGCAGACAGAACTTTCTCTGTCTTTCTTGCAATGACCTTAATTCACAATGCACACACATTCTCCTGTTGATTTGCACTTAGTTTCAGATACCACTCTAACACCCTGACAGGAAGCCTAAGGGGCTCAGAACACTTGTTTTCCAGCTTCTGTTGTCCCAACGCCAGATACATTTTTCACAACTTGTTCACTGCCGACTGATGATTACATCAGACACTATTCTTCTTTCTTCCCCACTGTGCCATTCACAGAAATGGGGTGTCTGCTAGGCTGGCTGTCAATGACAGGATACAATGAGCACCCTCCACTGTGCCATTCACAAAAATGGGCTACTTGGTTGGCTGGTGTCTGTTGTCACAATCAGGAAACAATAAGCAACCTACTAAACAATACAAAGATACTTCTTTAATATTTCAACTTGATAGAAGCATTAACTTTTCCATTAAATTGAGGTTTTTTTATTGGTTATATTTCCTTAACACACAAATACCTCCATAATTACAATTTATATTTCAGTTAAAATAATATTATAGTGAGAATCCATGGTATTGCCTACACGTCTTCTGTAAA